CTTCAGATGTGTGGGGTCAAGGTGGGAAATGTCAGGGAAAATGAGAAGTTGTTACCAGGTGTTTGTTGCTGCTACAGTGTTGTGGATTTTTAAATGCTAATGTAAATGGGAAAAATAGCTGAAACACTGAGTACTTGTCCAAAGTGTAGGAGTCACCCCATATATAGTTCCTCTAAGTAGATTTACACCTGTGACAAATCCAAACTTTATAATTTAGGAAAGCTTTCAAGACTCACTCCATGATTCAGTTGTAATAAACCCTTGCTATTACATCTCAAGGACATATGATGGTATGAGAATAGTTTTCAATAAAATAATGGTTGGAGAGGTTGGTCATTTATCTTTGTTGTCTGTCAACGTTTAGAGTGGAATTTAGAAAGAATTATAGAACTTCAGTTTCTGAAGGCCACTTGCAGCTAATCTAGCTCACATAGGAAATCTAACCTGCTAAATCTTTTGTGAACAAAGACTTTAATTTGAAGTCAAATATTGTCATTATTGTTGCTGTTGTTGCTGCTCTAAGTATTTATGTGCTAACACTGACATGTTACTTTCTGTAGGCTTCTGTCAGAGCTACTGACCAGCTCTCTTCCTCTCAACAGTAGTTAACTGAGCATTGTTTCAAGGATAAGTGATGAATGGTATAATAAATGTGGTATCTAATGAAACCTCAAGCAAAGTTTAAATAATTGATTTTCCTTTTCACTGCTTTTATCTTGGTAGGAGCAATTATTTTTAAAAGGCTTCGAACTTCTGTTTTATAAGACTTGTTTGCAGTGGTTCAGCAAACCATTTTATAAAGAAGTAAGCATGGCAGAAGTCCTCTGTAGAAGATTTAGCCACATTTCATGAAAACTAGTGTACTGTGATGATTATACCCTCACCAGTGACTCCAAGCAAGAGAATACACTTTTTACTTTTACTATCAAAATTTGTATCTGTACTTACATGAGTGATTAGTAGGTGATTTGTTTCCTTTGTTGGTACTAAACCATTGCTACAGTTTAGTAAGAAACATCATGTTGCCAGTCACACTGTGTTTCACAAGATGTAAATCCCAGGTCTTCAGAGATACTACGGCATGTTTTTTTCCTTGTATAAAGAGAAGAGAGTGTTCATATTAGGACAAGTTCAAGCATCATCTCCACTAAAGAGAATAGGAACTTTGTCACAGTACTTCAGTAAGGGCAAGTTTCCTGCAAGAAGTTTCTGTGGTTTTAACTGAATATAGAAAAGTTGGTGAGTTAGGATCCAGTTCAGCAGTTCTTAGCTACACAGGACCTTATACATTGACACCAAGCCTTTTATTGTTGGAAGGTAATTCTACACACACTAATAAATGGGGACCTGTTGTGGTTTGAACTCAGAGGGCAACTGAGCACCATGCAGGTGCTCACTTCCCCTTCTGTGGTGAGAGGGAGAAAATAAAAGGCTTGGTGATTTGAGCTCAGAAGTCAGCTACCCTACAGTTGCTCACTCCCTTGTTCCCCCTTCAGTGGTGGAAAGGAGAAGGTAAAGCGAAAGGCTCAGGACTTGAGACAAGTACAGAGGGACATGATGCATCCATTACTGACAGAGGCAAAAGACAGACTCGTTAGGGGAATTAAAAAAGGACATAAATTTAATACAGACACTAACAACAAGACTTAACAGGCAGAACGGGAGAGTGAGAAGCATTACCACATCTTGAAAACACCTTCCCTCATCCCTTCCTTCTTCCTGGGCTCATCTTTGCTCACAATATCTCTACCTTCTCCCCTCCAGTGGCACAAGGAAGGGAATGGGGGTGTGGTCAGTCCCACCGCTTCTTCCACCTCAGGGTGAGGGGGAACTTCTGTCATTCCTTCCCCATTCCAGCACAGTCTCCCTCTCACATGAGACAGTCCTTCACAAGCCAGCTCTGATATAAGTCACTCCCATGGGCGGGTGTCCCAATCCGATGTCAGGGAGGGTTCTTAAACGATCCCAAGAGTGAGATTAAGACACAAATGAGGTCAGATGCCATACAACCTTGTGAACTTTATTGTACACACAACTAGTAATAGCGCTAGGACAGAGAGAAAAAGAAAGAAAAAAATCAGATTCCCTAAGCAAGAAAACGGTAGAGATGCAATGTTTTGCTGATTAGGGATACCAATCAAACTCGGACACCAGAGTGAAAAGAGCAGGCGTATTTTACTCAAAATAACTAAATAATGTAACAGAATAATACAGAAAACATGCAGTAAGACAGAATAGTGCACTTAAACAAATAGGAAAACACAGTGTAATGAATCAAATCATTACTACCTGAGAGAGAGAGTAGTGATGAAGAAAGATCCCTCACCCCTTGTACACGTTCCCATCACCCAGACCCGCAGTGGCTGGGCAGCCCCGGTTACAGCGAGGGTTTGCAGAGCCTGTCCTAGCAAGGGGGAAATCCTACGGGGTGCATCCACCCATAGGTGAAGCTTCCAAAGTTGCTGTGAGTGGGTCCAGCCTTATATACTTAAAAATCATCAGGCCAGAATAGCTGGCACCTTTGTTTTGAGCAGAACATCTGGTTTCAATCTCACATTAGATTCCCCCAGAGCCTGGCCGGGGCTCAAGGGAGTAGCTAAGGGAGTTTCCCTCCTTATCTAATTTATTTACGTTCTTTTTAAAACACGGCCATATGTCTGTCCCAAGGCTCAACAGCTGGCTTCATGGCTTTGTTAACTTTTACCCCTACACAGAGAAGAAGAGAGATACATACAGGATAGACATGTTTTCATTACATCCATCACCAGTAATGAGTATATGATATCTAAGCTAGATCTTTCATTAATGAGCATACATATTTAATTAGTGACTACATACTAAGTTAGCAGTTTCGGCTTGGGGCCTGTTGCTCAGGCTTCAACTTCCACCTTTTACAGCAGAAGAGGTGGTTTGTTATAACTTAGTATAATACCTGTTAGCACAATGGTTTCAGTTATAAAATATATAGGATTTATCTATAGGTCAACTCTGGCTTGGGCTCATTGTCCAAGCCTTAGCACTTCATGCAGCAAGATTGTTTACCACCACCATGAATCCAGTGGTATACTGTTGGTTCGGTCTTGGTACAGGTGATGGTGCTCCAAGCTCCAAGAGTGATGACAAGAGTGTGAGAGAGAGACAGTCCAAGAGAGGAGTATGCAGTCCTTTTATTGTCCCAGCCCCCACAATTTTCTCTGAAAGTCCACCCATTTCCATGGGGCTCATTGTAATATGTGCCACCTCAAGGTCCTCCATGTGTGCATGCCCAGGCATTCACAGTGGTCGTGCCAGCCTGCACGTCTTCCTCACCCTGGTTCAACTTTGGGCAGATGTCGTGATTTTGTTAGGGACAGTTCCTCTTCTCCAGAGTGTACTGCTCCATGTCGACAAGACGTTGAGGCCAGGAAGTGGTGGTGGTGCAACAGCAATAATTGAGACATACAGTCCAACACAGTCCCTTACAGCGTGTGGGTCACCCTTGCCTGTTGCAGTCCCCCCTGCACTGAACTACAACAGCAGGTTACTTTTTCCCACAGGGTCCTGGCCTTCTTAGGATGCAGCCACCTGTTCTGGCATGGGGCACTCCAGACTGCAAATTGGAATCTGCTCCACTGTAGACCCCCATGGGTGGCAGGGGTGTGGCCCTGCCTTCTCACTGTGGCATACAGGGGAGTCTCTTCTCCAGTGCAGCTTCCCCCCTTCTGCTCCTTCATTCCACTGATCTTGGTGTTCGCACAGATGTTCTCCTTACAACCCCTGCCACTCCTCCCAGGTTCCCCTTCTTAGATATGTTATTGCAGAGGCGCAGCCACCATCGCTAATTGACCTGGCCTTGGTGCAAAGGCAGGTTGAAATTGGAGCTGGGGGATCTTCAAGATACTTCTCACAAGGGGCCACCACCGTAGCTCCCTCCCCTGCTACCAAAACCCCCTGCCACTGACTCAACCCAGGACAGGACCATGTGTTCACAAACCTGCAGCTTATCTCTGCCATAGCTAAACTTTCATTGTATGTTACAGGACTGGTCTTTCAATCCCATTCAAAGATAAGCACCTACTTATGAAAACTCTGGAAATTCTCGGATTTCACTGGAAAAGGATAGCTTGGGTGCATAAGGATCAATATATGGGAACCCAAGATGAAATGCTTTTGCATATTTTACAATGAATAAATTCTTTTTGTGTTCTCATTTTAACATTAGTTACATAAATTATTAAAAATACAAAAGTCTTTGAAGATATTTTCATCAGTGTCACTTAATCAAATTAGTATTTCTATGCAACTGAGTTTTTATCTTGGAAAGGGAAAAGTGCAAAGAATAAAAAAAAATTGATATCTATTGCCATGGGTTTTTTGTAGAAGTCAATTGTATGCTACACTGATTACTGCCAACACAAAACCCTAGACAAAGTAGGTAAGATGGAAAGCATACTATGTTAATATTTCTTATGATTTCAGCTTTTTTTTTTTTTTTCCCAGATAAAGAAACATGATGGTTTAGTTGCTTATTTTTCCCATTATTTCTTTCCTGAAGTGTTCATGATTGCTTCTTCTTGCAGGAGAAGATTAATGTTGACAGTATGGGGCATCAGGTGATAATATTTGACTTTTCTCTCATAAGAGGACTGTGGGAAACTCGTGTTAAGAAGAACAAAGAACGTCAGAGGAAAGAGAAAGAACGATTAGAAAAAAGCTCATTGGAGAAGTAAGCCAACTATTCTGATGTTCATTTTAGCTGAATCCATTATTGTTATCCACTAACATTGCCATATACTAAACATTATCAGATGATTTTTTTTTTTTTTTTTTTTTTTTTTTTTTTTTTGGGGGGGGGGATTGATTTCAATGATTTCTTGCCTCCTTTCCTAGGATGATTGTAAGAGAAATACACCACAAATACATGCTTGTATTTCATTAGTCCCCACTCTTTCTTATGTAGCTTGTGATTTACTAGTTGTGTATTTTATTGTCTACTGGTATAGATTTGATTTGAAGAGAAAAATTTTGTGCCTTTCTATTTCTTATATACTATATAAAGTATGGCTTTTTATTATGGAATTCATGAAAACTCCTAAAATTCAGTACTAAGAAATGCTTTTAAGTCTTTTTGTTGACCTGACAGGAGAAAGAAAAGGAATTAAATAAGTGGACACACAATTGTTTCTGAATGAAAGAGAGATGATAGAATAAAAGTATTATTAGAGGATTTTTTTCTTGTTCAGATATTTAAGAGAGCCTTGATTATAATGTTTATACCCATTAATGATGTTATAGATTTTAATATATTTATTATTTCTTTAAACAATATTTTTGTTTTTTTATATTCATTTCCATTAGAAACAGTGAAATATTATACTGTGCTGGCAATGTTGGAAACATATGACATCATTTTTCCCCTCTGAGAAGAGAACAAAGCAATAAAAATCACTTTCTACTTTAAAAATAAAATGTACAAGGTTAAACAGTGCCTTTGTTTAAGAGCATCGTTGCACTGAACCTTATGTGGTGTTCTGGCTGTCTCAGGAGACTCCCACTCATACACTCTCACTGCTAGTGCAGCTATGCTGACAACAGAGCAGCTGGACTAAGAGGAGACCAGGATAATAATACAAAGTCTGATTGCCCTTTCTGCAAGACCTTTCTCCTCGAAACATCTGTAGTTACAGTCTTGGTTCTCCCACCTATACCCAAAGCTGCATTAAAAAACATAATCTTAACAAAAAAAGAGAAAAATAAGCTCATCCTTCAGAATAAATTCTGTAGAAATTATAAGCTTTCTTCTTGGTATGGGCTGAGGGTTAGGAAAAGTTTGCTGTTGAGTGTTACCCTTATGGTTGAAAAAAGAAGTGAAACGGTTTGAATGAAACTCAGATGCTACATTAAGAAGTGGCTTTGTGCAATTCTAATGCAGATAAAGCAGAGACTTTATTTTACTGCTATGTCAGCTAGTGGCTCTTGGGGTGCCACTGCATCTCTCTTCATAAAAATAATATTATAACTGGGAATCCACATCTGTAGTTTCATATGGTGCATTCAGTCATCTTCTGAACTGACGAAATATCAGTCCAAATGTGGACCTGAATGTCAGCACCCCGCTGACATGTTTTATTTGATTTTTGTTTTTCTGTGGTGCAAAAGATAACTTCTGACTTCACTAGTATAAAAGCAAACCAAAAGCACCAGGCTTGGGGAACTTCTGTATGGAAGAGGAAAAGATGGTAACTTTATGTGCTCTGAGGTAGCTAATTTCAGCTCCTGTGTTTTTGTCAGCAGCATACATTAAAACGCATTTCTTACTGTGACTTGTGTTTTCCATAAAAACAATACGTTCTCCCTGCCGTTTCTGCCTGGGGTTATTTGTCTGTAGCCACCCCTCCAGCTGAAAGATTGGAGCTTGACAGCCAGTTCTGCTCTTTTCCACTAATGAGGTCCGAAGTCATTCTGTTATTTTCCTGGATGGGGAATCTGGGATTTGGTGCACAGAAGTAAAATGTTCAAAGTGCACTCTCAGCAAAGGATTTTTGTTTTCTTCCTTTCACTTGCAGTTTTCATACAGTACTTTTTCTTGTTGCACATCTTCATGAAATATCTTTCCAATCAGTCCTGCTTCTTTTAGAGGTCCTGGCAAAAAAAGGAGGAAATACATCAGACTTTATTTCCTGAATGTGAGTGATCACTATTTTCACCCACTGAAATGAATGGCAAAGGTCACGTTCATTCTTATGTTGCAGGCCTCATAGAATGGATAAAACTGGTAGAATACTCATCAAACTACCATTAATAAAATGCATAATTGAGTTAAAAGAAAAATCCTCTTTGTTTATGAGGTGTGCAGTGACCACCGACCCTTTAGGTCCTAAAGATCAGATCACAAGTTATTTCCTAGATAACTTTCAGTGCTTCCAAAGATTAGGCCAAATGTAGGACAAGATTTTGTTTGTTGTTAGCTCAAAAGCATAGATAAAATTGTAATTATAATTAAATGTTTAGTAGAAATAATATTTCCCTGTAGAGATACATTTCATTATTTTAAGGAGTTCTGTGTGCGACCTGTCCAAATTCTGCTATTCTACTCAGATATTAACATTTTATCACTGTCAGGTAGGTCCACTGAAATCAATGTTAGTACTTACTGTCAAGGTACAGTAAGAAAGTATTTTGAAAAGGATTGTGAGCGAAAATGATAATTCCAAAAAGACATTCAAAGAAGGCATTTTCCGAAATCAAGGACTGCATTGTAGCATTTAAGATAGATATTTATTTTTGCCAGCAACAAGACTGAATTCCCAAGTATGGCTGAAATAAATACTGTTTCTCTGCAAATATACTCATGTAAGAGATGAGTTTGGAATCTGGCCTGTTAAGGCTGCTTTGCTTTTTTTTTTTTTTTTTTTTTTTTTTTTTTTTTTTTTTTTAAAAATCCATTTTTTTCTCAAAAAGGTTGCAATTCAATAGTGCCCTTCAGGTTGTGCAGTTCCTTATCATCCATATTGCTATGTAAAATGACCTGAGAATATGTAATGAAATGTAGTAGGTATTATTTGAGGAAAGATTTCCAATTAACCTCTTGGGAACTCTGCTTGCCTTGGGGCAAGGTACTATAGTTCATGAAGAATCAGCAAGCAGTTACACGTAAGATATTTCTCTATTTTGACTGAAGATTTTCTAAAGAGGAAAACATCACAAATAAATGCAAAGTTTGTACTGTGTTTGCATTAATGATGAGGTATTGTAGACATTTGGGGAATTTACATGTCTGGAACAGATGTTTAAGCAGCTGGTCAGTGAAAGATGATTCTGGAGAACAGTCTACTTGAGAACATTATGAGAAGCTGATATCTGGCCCTCTGAGATGCTGTTATCAGGTCACTTTGGGTGGAATTAATTCAGTCCTCTGTTTCCCCATTGGTTTTGTGGGACTGTGGAAGTATGGCAATTTAAGGAACCCCTACTTGTGGGGGGCACGTATATAAACCAGAAACTGAGTACAAAAGAAAAAGAAACAGTACAGTGTTGTGCAAGAGTATTTTAATTTTACTTCATGTCCTTAATCCCATCAGACAAGCCTATTCTAAATCTCCCATAGGATATAAAGCATGAACTGTTACAAAAAATGTGCACTGTTCCGTGGTTATCTAAGTGTTTTTGAAAGTCCGTATTATGGGAATAAGTTTCTGTTTATAGCATAGTTCTAGATTTCATCTTCTAAATTCTGCTAGTGGTGAACAATCTTATATTGTACCCTCACATCCTGAATGCTGTCAGACTAACTTGATGTGGTATGATGTTTTTTCTTATTAATTTTCCTTTCTACTAGTAATTTTTTTGGAAAGGGAATGAGAGTGAAAGTTTACAGTTAGATTTTTTTTTTTTTTTTTAAGATTGCAACATGTTTGTCTTCTGTGTGAAAAGCAGGTAAGTTAAAAATTGAAGGCTGACACATTAAGCATTCAAGCAAGGAAATACCAGAACTGTTTACACAGATTAGCTATCTAAATCTTTGCTGTGAAATGGCACAGTCTCCCCTGTCCACCAACCAAACATGCAGCAAAGATAACAGTTTGTTCAGCTACCTCTTCCAGTGTGTCTCTTCTCAAAAATTTCCTCTCAATGTCTGGTTAGCTAAATATGCATGTGTCACATTTTTGAGCTATGAAGTTCCTGAATGTTAAAAGTCAAAAGAAAACTTCCTCTCTACAGGTAGACAGTGACTTTTTTCCCTGAGAGGTTATGTGTTTGTTTAATAAAATAAATTTGTCTCCATTTCTCTGCCAAACTTCTGTGTTATAACTCCATATGTCCCTCAACTAAGATGTTATTTGTGATATTTATTCTCCCACTCAATATACAATTCAGAAATTTTTCTAAGGAAGACTAAAACTCAAGCTGGGAGTCTTTAGCCTCAAACACAAATTATGGGCAACAAGTTGGGAGTAGATCTGCAGCACTAATAACCACTTAAGTTATTTGCCTTTGTTCTTAGGCACTTGTGCATACAGGCCTTGCATCGAATATAATGCACACAAATGGGTTGAAAGATAAAGGCTGCTATTCAGATACAATCCTCTATAACCCATGGGAGAACTTGGCAGTGAGACTGAAATGAAATCAGTCCAATAGAATTTGAAGCAAACGTTACTCATCCATCAGGAATATTAGTCTGGGCTGAGCTCCAGTTCAACTGTACTGCTCTTATAAAAATTTCATAGGATTATTTAATGATCCTGTGTGGCTAGTGGTTCTGATTTAAACATCACCCAGGAGTACTAAACTGGTGACACCATTTAGTGTCCTGGCTATTTCTTCCATCCTGATTTAGAGGAAACAGTGCCATCTAATGAAACTTCCTTTCTTTACCTAAGAATTACAGCTTTTCCTCAAGACCTTCAGATCAGACATTGAGCAGGTGGTAAGTGCAGAAGGAAGAACCGTTTAAAGTAACCCAGCTACTCCTCTTTTACTGGGATGGCTCTGAAATCCTTACTAATGCAAACAACTTCTTTTCCAAGCTAGTCACTCCTTTGAAGGGTCCAATCACTTATTCTACAGTAATTCTTTGCATCAGGTTGATTAGATTTGTGATTTTGTTGGACAGTCTAAAATGCCACACAAGGAGCTCCCATATCCTTGAAAGGCAATATTTATAATTAAAAATACTATGTTGTTAAATCTCTTTGCTGCAGATATACTGAAGTAATGTTTGAG